ATATACACACATAGTAGAAACTTGATTTAACATTTTTCAAAAACCATTGAAAAAAGTACAGGTAGCCCTTGGTTTACGCTGATTCACAATAACGCCGCTGCACAATTCGCCATTTCATTGTGTAATTCCCCAATTTTCCCTACACTAAATTTGACCAATCCCAGCAAGACATGAGTCCACTACGACACCACATGTTATGGCATAATTGTGGCTCGTTGGGATTGGTCGGATCTAGACCAATAGAGAATGTTCCATGAACCGTTAGATTTGAATGAGCTGTGGACCCGACATAGAGCTACAGAAGAACGACAAAGAAGAAACTCCAAGAGTTTTGAAAATGGCCGATCTAAAGCGTATCCTTTCAACTATGGAAAATTTGATGGATGAACTCTGTGAGTTAGACAATGATTGGGAGCGAAGTGCAAATGTAAAAAGGAGCATCATCGCATTCATTTGACCATATTCTAAAATTATTAATGAAAGAAAACAAAAATGTAAACAATTAAAGATGGATACTTTTTCCGAAAAATGTAAGAGATCAAAACCAAAATTTTTTAATAAAAACATTTCACTTCATTTTATGATATAAATTTAATTTTTAAAATTTGTTTTATGTATTTTGTATTACAATAGAGCATCGATTATCTGACTCAATTGGGGACTGGGGTTGGTCGGATAACTGAAAAAACAGATAACCGAAAAATATGAAAAAATACGAAAAAATACGTTATTAGTATAGTATATTAGTATATCTCATGTAATTAGTATATTAGTATATCGCTATTAACCTACTTCGCGTTGAATTTTCATCAATGTTAAACCTAACAAAAATTTTTTTAAAATAATAGTCGCTATTGTATCGTTAAAAATTAGAAAATTAAGCCTCGTTTAAATACTGGCTTCCTTTCATGGTCGAGCCATGTTGCCAGCTAAAACACGTAAAAATACTATTAAAGTAGCCAAGACATAGCCAAATATTGTAGCGCCACATCACTAGCAGACATTTGAATTTGTTGACTAGAACATGGTCGGTTAACCAAAGTGACGTTTGATTGGGGGTCGGATAATCGATGCTCTACTGTATATTGTATTAATAAATAAAATTATTTGCTTATTTTTCACTTATGTAGAACCTAACTCTATACCTCACTGTAAATATGGGCTCATTTTTGCCGGTTTTTGTAGGAACAGAACTGCGGTGTAAACCGAGGGCTACCTGTACATTAAAATATGGACTACATAAGATCTGAACATATTTTAAAACATGCTAAAATGTGCAAGTGCATATGTATATGCATTCAGGATGATAAAATGAAGATAAACACTTACATCACTAGTATAAACATTTCCATGGAAATTTTTATTTCGTATATTATCTACACCTCTAGACATGTTTGTACAAAGATAATGAACTGTTAAACTATTCTGAACCAAATCAGAGATACTTATTTTCTGTCAAAGATTTGATATGTCTTCATCACTGCAATTTCTAAACTTGAAACAAAAAGAAACTTATTTTTGTCAATGTCGTTACTGCTATTGAGCATTACATATGAATTGTTTCATATATCTTGGCCAGGTGATGCTCATTAGTTAGTGACCTTGAATATTGGTCAAACAATATAGTCCCTTCAATAAGTAAATAGATTGGTCCCTGCCATTGCACATCTTTACAGTCTGGTTAAGATTCATGAAATGAACTGTACTTCCTTTTGTACTCGCTGCCCATTTGTGGGTTTGTAGTTGCACAGGAATACTGTATTGGACTACNGACTGTGTTATAAATTAAACACTTGGCGCTTTTCCTCTTTATTCAGTTGAAAACTGAATAAAGAGGAAAAGCGCCAAGTGTTTAATTTATACATATAAAGAATCAAAACTGAATATTCTAATGATCAGATGATAAGGCTAGGTTAACAGTGGAATTAACTGATTATGATAGTTAATCCAGTTTTATCATTTGAGTGTTAATGTATTTTTCTATATTTAATATTGAGACTGTAAATTTAAATAAAACCAAACCACACTCAAAGAACAAAACAGTTTTAAAAATATTCTTATAGTAATTTTACTCTCTAATAGCCTCTGAAAAATGCAAACAGTTTATTATAATTAAGCATTCTAAAATTTGATTTTAATTGGAAAAATTTAATTTTATAATTTAACAGATTACTAAAATCATTTATATTAAATTTTTGATATAATCAAGCGTAACTAAAATTAAATAATATGACTGTAATATATATAAATAACATTGTGTATTATTATGTAAGTTAATAGAATTTCTTTGTTATCCAGTTTAAAAATATTAAAAAGAAATTAATAATAATAGAATAAAAGATTGCAAAAACATTATTTTAATAATATATAATATATCTTCATATGCTTGGTTGATTCTGTGTGGAATTAATATTATTAATTTGCATAATAACATTTTAAATCAACTAATAATTTCTTTTTCTTTGACTTTGTATTTGACTTGTTCACTTAATTATTGCTATTGTTTTTATGGAAATAAAAAAGTAATTGTAGTTGTTAATGTGTGATGATGTATATTAAAATATAAAAATTAGGTTGTACTTAATACAATTTGTGCTTTTAAATTGAATTATAATTAAATTCAGAATTAGTATTAATGTCAATGTAAACTCTGTTTCAAAACAGAAAAATTTAGCCTTTTTGAACTATTAATGTATCACTTTTTTTCTGATAACAATGGAGTCACTTGTGAAAAAGAAAATGATAATTTTCTAAATAGTCTAAGTAGTGGGTTTTCAGTTCATTAATTTTTTTGGTAAACTCTCTCTATCCTCTGGGCACTAAAAGTATTTTTTTAGCAAGCCCATTGTGGATTTGGCCAGGCCCACAACGAAAGTGATCAGATGGTGAGGAACAGGGCCTGACTTATCTGGACAAACACTCTCAAAAATTTTCTGACTTTTTTTTTTATTTGTCCTGATTCAATTCCTTGACCCCAGAGTGGTATGCTGCCAATTTAACTGCTTGACTGTCTGACTATATTAGTTTATTAATTAGGAATATTTTTAAGTGGCAATTTAGTAATAATACATGAGAGATTTTCTTTCGCCCCAATTCTTAATTATATAACTAAGTCAATGTCATCTATACTTTTTTCAAGGAATCACTTATGTGTATTGTTAGTTGAGATCACAATCACTACCATAATACTGGTATAATGCAGTAATAAGTACACCTAGACACCAATAACTTGCAAAAAATGGGTATATTTTAAAGAAAAGTTTCTTTGGTTGTAAACAGACATCTTCAAGTTAGATGAAACAAAAATACAATCCTTAATCAAGATCTTTCAAGTTGTTTATCACAAAGCTTTAGATCTCATCTAATGAGTCAGGCTTCTATCAAATGAATTTGATTTTATATTATTTCGCATGCAATTTTAGTATTTGTTTTTATCAGATGATTATTTTCAAGATTCTTAAATGTTTCAAAAGTGAAAACAATATTAATTATATGTTGTTAATGGATAAAAGCTTAAAAATTACAGGGATTTTGAAAAAAGACTGCTGCCATTTTAAATTATTTTGATTGTGTTAATTATTACCCAAGAACATTGTAATCTGCATTAAAATGTTGAAAAACTAAGTTTTACATTTGCCTATTAAAATTTCTCAGTTCATGCACCTCATATCACATTATACACACCTGACAAATATACAAATTCTTCCTATGATTGCTATGGCAAATTTGCTGTCGCTTTTCCCAAAGCAGCCATGATTCCACGGCTCCTGCAGATTACTCATGTTGCATAAGACGAGCGATTCCAACTTTACAAATTGCGGAACACAAAACTTCTCTGTTGTAGAATTGCCATTTTTGTTTACGGCATTTCCTAGGAGTGGTAGACGACAAGATGTTTGAATACAGATGAAGATGAAACTCGGACAGTTACTATATTGATTAGAATTTGTTGCATGTTTCTCGGATAGTTAACATATTTACAGTAATTTAAATGGTAGCATTTATTTTGGAAGACTTTGTATTATTAATCAGGTAGAGAAAATATACAAAAATTTCTATCTCTATATGCAAGTATAGAGACGGAAATATTTAACAAAGATTAAATACGGAAAGTCTTCTCATTTAATGCTATGAAGTAAACATTTTTAAATAATGAATTGATTTCATAGAGAATTTTACAAAGATAATTAATACTTGTAAAATGAGAGATTGCAACATTATGATAAATTTTACGTTTTACATTTTAATGACATATGTTCTATAAATATTAATATATTTTATTTGATTATTGGTCTTGTTAATGGACTTTGTTTGCTAAGATATTTGTGTAGACAGACTTAGGTAAGTTGAGAAAGTAATGATCACATTTTCAAATTGATTTGGGGATGTGAATGACCTACAAATGGTGGTTTTGTTCTGCATCTGACTTTTCTCATTAAATTTACTTAGATCATTAATGGGAAGAAAGTTTTAAGATTACTTTACTTTAAATGTCATTTAATTTAAATTTTAAATTTTCAGTAACAAAATCTTCATGCATTTTCTTATCATATAAATATAATAATATAAAATAATTTTAAGCATATGTTTTTAAGTATTTTAGATTCATTATGGGTTTTATATTAAAATTATGAATGATTTTTCTGATGATTACATTTTCTTTGCTCATTTAACAATAATGACCACTTAATTCATTATACTTTAACTTCACTTAACATTAATGGCAATTTAAACTTATTTTAACATTAATACAATAGAACATTGTTATGTAAAACAGTTTAAATATCAGTAAAGTAAACAGTTTATTAAATTTTATGTTAAATCGATCTATTAACTTCAATTTAATTGTATTGTTTATTTAACATCTTACTTACAAGAAAACTCTGTAGTTTATTTAAAAAGTCTAAGTAGATATTTATTATTACTATATTCTTTGTTGTATATTATTATTATTATTTGTTACACATTTTTCATTTATGAATATTAAATATTTATTTTAGGCAGTACAAGTTTTAGGCAACAAAGTGGAAATGGAAATTGCGAAACTAATAGAACAGAATGATTCCTTACTACGTTTGGGCCTCAGTTTGGCGGTTCCGGATGCTCGTATAAGAGTAACTCGTCATTTATCCAAAAACAATGATAACTGTAAGTTTTAATTCTTTTATAATAATCTTTTCTCAGAGATTTCATTTTTAATAACAATAGTATAAGCAAATTAATGATGTGCAAACCTGTTACTTTTGGGGCTCACATGTTTAATATTTGTTACTCGTTACTTAATTGTTAACTGCTAGTGTTGTGCATAAACCCATTACTTTGAGAAACTGGTAGATATTTGCACTTGGTATTTTTAACTCACTATTTGTTACTCATTAGTCGATAACTCATTAGTAAGTAACAGGCAAGAACTTTCTATTGATACTTGGTTGCTAAGTCTTTATTACTTGAATCAAGTATTATATTTGAAATTTCTGCTCATTAGAATTTTATTGCATTTATGAAAGTTTAGAAAATTTATTTTTATGTCTGAGGTATGAGGCATTAGTCTTTTAAACTACTGTTATAACTTGTGACCATGTTTCAGGTAAGCTTGGCTGTGTTACTATTTAGTTGTTTTTTCATATTTACTTACAATTTAAAATTAAAACTTTACTCACTGTTTCTAGCAGGGTATTTCAATCATGCACTAACATTTTTGACTTCCTAGAGAAAACTTTTTTTACTTACAAAAACTCAAGAAATAGAACAAATTTTGTTTTAATTTTAGGGTTAGTATGTAAAGAATACAAAAGTAGCAAATAGATTAAATTTATTAGCTGTTTTTGTATTTTTTGATGATGATGGTGCATTTTCAATCTTGAATTATTGACTACTGGATTGTTCATGTTTTTTTCTCTGTGGGAAGTCTGTTTTTGAGTCCAGTTTGGATCATTGGGAATTTTTTGGATGATCTGGAATTTACAGGATGTCTTTTGTGATTCAGTCATCACTTTGTGAATTCCATTTAATCTGTAACAATTATGCAAAATGTTTCCTATGCTCTTATTGCCTGAGAAGAAAAGCATCTTATGTAATTACTTTAGTCAATAGATGGTTAAGTGGTATATGAAAAATCAGTTGCAGGGTTTGTGTGCACATGCATGCTTTTCCTAAATGCTGCAATGTTAAAATTTCGACATGAACATGATTTGGGTCAAAGTAGATCAAATTACGGTTTCCCAATAGAGCATATTTTATATCCATTTATGATTTTTACTGCATATTTTGCAGATTTGATGATTTTCAGGACTAAAGTACTTTATAGCTTGTTTACATTGTGAGAATTCGGACTTAAGTGTGAAATTCCGCACTGAAGTAAAGAACATGCATTTTGACCCTTCACTGTACTGTGTCACATTGAAGGTGACTTTCATCGTCCAAAGAAAGACTCCCCTCACACCAGGGGATAGTTCAAGTCTAACATAAATATAAGGTGCAGATAAGTAACCAATTAATGGTGACAATCACCTGTTACTGTAGAGAGAGTAACCAAAAGGTCACCGACAAGGATAAAACAAAACCCCATACTCCAAGTCTGATTGACCCGATGAGAAATTCGATCTAAATGACCAAATAAAGCAATGATTTTTTCAAAGGGGTGAGACATAGTATGACACGAGTCACCTCATGTTAATAAATCAGGGATTTTGACAAATTTATGATGGTAAGAAGTCAGTTATTGGAAGAAAAGGATGATGATAACATAAACACAGCTATACGCAAGTTGAGCTGGTGATTGCATTAGATTTTCTTCCCCCATAATTTCCCCTCCGAGATAGGTATAAAAAGAGGTCGAACTTGCACCTCTGGGCGGACAGCTGAAGAGGATCCCACCAAATCAACACCCTCAGCGGACAGCCAAAGAGGACACCGCCAGGTATACACCCACATCGGACATAGCCGAGTGGACATCAAGGGACACCATTTCCATACCGCCCTACTGTCCATCGCTCCATATTGCCATCCACGGGAAACAGAGAAACTACGATTAGGAACCGCCGATCCCAGTGCGTCCTACCAATGCCCTATACAACGAGATTGACTCCTACAAGGTAAACCCTTGACCAAATTTTCTCTCTCTCTCTCCAACACGTCCCTTTTAGGGAGGTCTTTCTCAAGCTTTAGTTTAGGATAGGATGTAGATATAGAATAGAAACCTTTTATTATTTATACATGTGTCATTTCTGCTTTTCCTTCAATATGTATAATCTCTTAGTTGTTTATTAAATGTGTTATTGTTGTTCAACCTGTGTAGTTATTTGGACGCCTTGTCACGACCTCACTGCTGCTACCCGCTCAATTTGCCCTCCTAAGCCATCCGACAAACTGAGAGTGGGTTTTACCAACTCGTGCAGAGTAAGTGGTCATTAGGGATCAACCCAGTGGTTCCCTGCTATCTCACAACATGATTGTAAGTGATCATTTTTAAAAATGATTTACAGTCCATGTCTGCTGTCTGTGCAGTGAATTTTCTTTTGTATGTACAATTTACATGAAAAATAGTGCTCTGCCATTTAGTTACAGATGAGCACGTGAAATTCAAATGTCTTGCTTTCGTTCTTTTAGCCCACTCGCCCATCAGTGGCCAAATGAATAAAACCACTGAACACTGGTGGGTAGTCTCAGACTCTCACCTCACCAATGGTCTGGTGATGTGTAGTTTTTTGGATTTTCTTCATGTTTGTAACATGGGAACCATAGAAGATCTTCCTGGAAGGCACTCCTCCTTGGCAGATTGCCCACATGTTATATTGTCCTATCCAATCACTCCAATCTTTTAACCAGTCATCCTCAAATATCTTTCAAATAATTTTATGTTTAGAAATAAATTCAATAACAATTAATTAGATAGTATAGAAAGTTATGAAGTTTTATTGAGCATGCAATTTTATTCATAATTGATTTGATTACACCTAAAAACTTATTTGGATGCAAAGGATGGCAGAACATAAATACAACATTGCAAAGAACAAGACAACCAACCACTCTTGCACAATATGCAATGGAGCCTGGAGTGTTAATGCTATGGGAAGAGGCCAAATTTATTAAAAACTAGCTTACCCGTCGTACATTGCTGTGATCTCAGAAGAAAGGAAATTCAAGCAAACTCGTTATGATAAAATTCAATTTACATTTTATTATTTTTATTGAAACTTATTATTATTATTCATTTTCATCGGGAAAACATTTCAAAGTGTCGTTTCAATTCTATTTATTTATTGGAGTGTTTGTGGATACACGATATTTTTTGTTTTTCCGTCTGGTGCGTACACGAATAAATCGGAAGGTTTTTCGACGCGTGAGCCGGCCACATACAGTTGTCCATGCGAGAAGCACGGATTCTCCAAATTTAGCCCACACACTCGCTGCGATTGTCAGAAGTGCGATATTCCCCATTTTTATATATATTTTTAAATCCTTTATAATTTTAATTATTTAATTGCTCCTTCCTCTCTTCCTTGGCATGTTGTGAAATTTCTGATAGTTGGATAATAAACCGTTTTATTGTAATTTGTCTTTTTAAATTATTAGATGATATTAAAATTTGGAAAAGGGGATCCCTAGATCGGTAAAATAGGCGAATTTCCTTCTACAACTTCGGTTGTTGTTCGGTATGCAGTTAAAGTTTTAACAAAGTTCGAGCGAATACGTAATTAGCAAAAAAAAGTTGAAATAAAGTGATTAAACAAAAATTATTACAAATATCGTAAATAACAGTTAACAAATGCATATATAGAAATATTTTTTGAAGGGGGAAATGTTCTTCACAATTTGAAATCGATCGGACACGCTGTGCTCGAATGCTCGCGTAAACGCGCGCCATCTATCGTAGGATAAATGTACTATGCCAAAAACCTTCGCCGGAGTATATTAAACAACTTCCCAAAGTTTCACGGCAATCGGATAAACGGTGTGGTAATGCATGAAGGACACACACACACACACACACACACACACACACACACACATTCATTTTTATATATATTAAAAATATATTAAACTCAGATAGGCTGAGAATACTGGAAGCATGGGAAATTTATAAAAGCTTGCAACAGGTAAGATGCTTAAACAATAAGGACGCTGAAATAATTTTCAGCTCTTGGAAAGTTCTTGTAGACAGTTCTATATGTGGAGGTAAGTTTTAGGAACATAGATATGCAAACAGTTATATGTTTGGCAGAACATTTTATTATTTGTGAACCATAATTTATAATTTTTTGTGATAAATCATTGTGTGGTGCTAAATTTAAGTGTTTGGATGTTAATGACATTGATTGATGATGTAGTGAAAAACCTGAATGGTTTAGTTAGTTTAAATACAGCTTGTTCCAGAATGTTTTTCTTTCAAAAAGCATTCCAGATTCCAAAAGTTTTGTTAAAAATCTTTTATAGAAGCCTGACATTGACCCATGAACAAGGCTGAAAATGTTTGCTTTTCGTTTATATTGACAGCATTTCTGGAAATAAGTGAAAGGTCAGTTTATTATCAATTTTTGACATTCTATCATCTAATGTCATGTGTTTACCTCCTCCTACCCAAAAAGTGTAGCATAATACACATTAGTAAGATTTGTTTGCAGACAGAAGTAAAGTACGTATACATTTTAACCTATAAATTTTAGAGTATATTGCTGGAGCTCTTAACATATATAATGCATATCTCAGGCATTGTTATGTGCATATGTATGAGGATACATTGTGATCAGATAACTGACACCTAAATGCAATTTCCAGTACAAAATAATGTTGTGTGCTGGAAATTGCATTTATGTGTCGGTTATTTGATTATACAGTTCCAGTTTATAAGTGTGCATAATTGTGATTAAATGAATGTAAATCTGGCCTTTACACATTATTGAAGGAAATATATCATATTTTCTTGATTCTAAGATTCTTTTTTACCATTTTGCTTGCCTGAAATAGAGATGTCTTATTATTGATAGTTTCTTACAATTGTTGTTTTAGACTTGGATGTAAGTACCACTGGACATATTCTGGGTTTTCCAACCTGTCCAGATTTGATCACAGGTCTCCCAGTGAGCTGCCACTCAGTCATCCAACCATCTATCTCACATTTTTAACCTGTACTGCATTCTATAAACTCTTTTGTGTTCTATTAATAGAATATTTTTTGTTCTTATTATTTAATTAAAACATGAAAAAGAGAATTGTATTGTTACATTTCCTCCCTTTATCTTTTAAAAAAGTGTGTTTAGATAAATTATCTTAAACTAATTTGAAAAATTGTTTTAAAAGTTAGTTAATTTGATGTTAATTTTTATATTCTGATAAGTTACTTTATATATAACTTTCTTGATGAAATAAATGCTGACAAAATTTTATAAATTTGTATTGCTTATGATTACATTTTGATTTAAATAAAAGTTAGAATAATAATGGTTTAATATCAAATTTCTGTTTTTATAATATGAACTTAATACTTTAATTACTGTTTTCAGGGATGAGTATTATATTATTAGTTTTGGATATGCCAGTTTTTCTTCATAAAATACATATTCTTTTTTTTAGTTTAAATTTCTCATTGAAAGTGTCCATGCTGATTCTAGCAAGTACATTTATTGGAGAAACGAACATTTTTGATTTATAGAAACATGTAATAACTTGACAAAGATCTATGAAAGTGATTGAAAACATTTATTTCTTGTACTTGTACTTGCTGGAATCAATGCAGAAGATGTGTTCAAGTTATAATATTTTCCCATTTTTGCAGTGTTTTAAGTGAAAACTGAACACCAAACTAAATGTTTTACAATAAAAAAAAATAAGTAATAAGTAGTAATAAAGGCATCAGCTTGCCACCTTGAAGGGTGCATGTTTCAGTCCAGACAACAGCCCTAGAAATTTTCATGGGTGGTTTGTAGTAACAAATTTTGGTACAGGAAATATATACCAAATATAGCTCTATATTATGGGAATGGTCTTGGAGCAAATGGCCTACTGCGAAATTTCTAATGTGCCAGTCCATTGCTGGTGGATTGACCTAGATACCTTGGATCCCGTTTCTCACCACCTGATCTCTTTGTTGGACTTGACCAAACTTATGATGGATATGTTATCAACATTAACAAATGGCTCCACTAGTTGTCTCTTTTGACACTGACATTCAAGAAAGAGGATTAGTTAAGCCTGCGGCTAATGTTGTGTGTATTGGTCATTAGTATTTGCAGAACAGAATTTTAAAATCCTCTCTCTCTCTCTCTCTCTGTTTTTTAATTAATTAAATTTAAAAAATAAATTGAACTCTATAAAAAGGTACCTTTCAACCATAGAATATGATTAAATTTTTAACACCAAAATGTATTTGTGTGTATTTCTAATTCAGCATATTTAATTTTTCAATTTTTATATTAATGAATAATTTTTGGAAGCAATTTTGAAATAATCTTTTAATGATGTAATAATATCTTAAAATACATTCTTTATAAAGTTTGTTTTCTAATGTGAGATGAACGTATGCAGCAATAATAAACTAAATATTTAATTACATTTTACTTATTAAGTAGTTAATTACTTAAACTATTAATAATTAATTTAATTTAAAATTAATTATTAATAGTTTAAGTAATTAATAAATTAAATTTTTAATAATTATATATATTTTAAATTGTCTTTAATATAATTGTTGTGTGCAAGGCCATTAAAAGCTTAGTACAGGGATGTGGGGATAGAGAGAGCTCCTTTTTTAACAAATGAAATATGTATTGTGCATTTATTCATTAATAAACAGCAGTCTTAAAGATTGTATTTTAATAATAACAACATTAATTTATAGGAGTATGAACTACTATGAGCCCTTAAGTTTTCATCTGGTGTTGGAAAATATCCTCATCTCCCTCCTCTCGATGGCCCTGGTTATATGACATTTAGAGTATTTTTTACTTGTAAGATGATGACTTTAGTATGCTTAACATTATTTTTTGAAGTTTTATTACAATAACAAATTAAATGTAACAACAACTTCAGATAAAAATCATAGTCTTGGAGCATTTTGACTTTATGACGTCAAGTAAAACAAATTATAAACTGATTACTCCAATAAAAAGCTTTAACTACTTTAGTCAGTTTAGCTTTCATGTTTCCCATGTTAAAAATTATAATATATTGCTTTCGTGAAGTAAATACAGAGATAAGTATTAGGTGTTTCCAAGCTATACCCACTCATCTTTAGGTTAAATTAAAATTTTTTGAACTACGAATTAATCGTTATAGCTAGTCAGTCGTTAGAATATTGTGAAATTATTATTTGCATTCAATATTAAGACTGAATAGTCTAACTTTATGTAGTTAAGATCTGTTAAAATGTATAATTTTTCTTTGTTAACCATTTCTGTGGTGTATGTAGTGAGTCACCGCTTCTAACATTGTGCTGTTGTGTAAGCTTTCAGCATATGTTTTGTTTCAGATTACTTATTTAAGCTTCTTTGGTTAAATTGTGAATAAAATTACTTTTAAGTTTTTAGTTTGATTAAAATTTATAACTTGTTTAATGCTAATTTATACTGTGTATTTTTCTTTGCTTTTATCTTTCAAAATATTGTGAACACTAATAAATTACATAGAAAAACTCTTAATTTACAAGTATTTTAACATTCAAAAAAAGGTATAATATGAAATTTTAGAGATGATAATCAGTTTCTGATATTTATATAGAATTACAATGCAGTATTAAATATTACACTTGTTATTGAAGTCTTGATTTATTGGATAACATTTGCTCATATTCTAAAGTTGAAAGTGAAATCTCATTGTTTAATATTCAATAATTATTATTGAATAAAGAAATTTTAATTTATAAATTGATTAAACAGAAAAAAATGACATTAAAATTCTGAAAGTGGCTCTCTTTTCATATATATTCTATACAGTGTCTGCTTAGACAGCTGTAAACATTATATAATTATTAAACAATCATTTTTGCTGGTAAATGTTAAATAAATTAATTCTTTGGTTTTATTTCTAAGAATGGCTATTGTTTATTTTGACTTATATTTACCTGCATTATTTTTTAACAGAAGTAATTAAGGCTGCAGTCTATAAATCTTCAGAAAGCTTAAAAAGCTTGTACAAAATTACACACACACAAAAAAAAAATATGCTTTATTGGAATAAATTTTTAAATATTTAAAACAAATATTTTTGAGTCTTTCTGGCTCATCTTTAGAAATTTAATTACTTATAAAACAATGGCATTAAACTTTAACTTATAAATAACTTAAAAATTTAAGAGTTAAATATTTTATTTGCTTTCTAGAATTGTGCGCTTTGGGTTTTAAAAATTTATTCTGGCAGTGCATAGTTTTCATATAATGTTTTATATATTTATTAAATTCTTTAAGGAGATCATTTTCATTATTAATTAATAAAGTTATTTTTTCTTAATTAAAATAGAATAATGTATTTTGACTTGACTAATGCATCATTTTTAAGTGTCAAAACATGGCATTCTTTTAAAAATTTCAATGTTACAAGGTGCAGTAATTAGTCTGATTGAGTTGTCACAGTGTCTAGTGTATCCTTTTAATTTTCAGAAATTATCAGAGTTAATTTTGTAAAGGTTTAATATAAATCAGTTCTAAACAAAAGAAAATATTTGGCAAGTCATGTTCGTTAACTACATCTGTGAATGTGTTTTTCTATTCTTTGGAATTTTATGTAATTGCCAACGAAGTGTTGTTGTCTTTGGATTCTTCAAGTGATGTGAAGCTTTCTTGAGAATATAGTGTTCCACTAATGGCAGAGTGGCTGAAACCACCAAACATTGGTAGTCGGTTATGGGTTCACACCTAACTAACAGATTGGCCATGTAGAATTTTTTGGATTTGCTTTATGTATAACACCTAAATAGGGTCTAGTTTCCTATAGAAAGTCTCCTGGAAAACATTCCTCTTGACAGATTACCCATGTGTTGTGTTGTTTGTTTAAAAAACAAATGTTTCCAAATCAGATATCAGAAATTATGTATTTGTGATGCTGACTAATTAAGAGATTTCTGACTATAAATTTTCATATATTGTGTCAGTGATGTGTTATAACTTTGTTGGGACACAGACAAATTATAATTAGGAGAGATTTCCCTCAAAAAAATGTTTGAAGTCAACAGTATTTCAAACATTTTTTTGAGGGAAATCTCCTGATATCCTCATTTATTTTTTTAATGCAATTCTGCACTGTTCCTGCTCCATGCCAGCAATCTATAGTTCCCAGATATGGCTCCAAATTTAAATTTTGTAATATTACTACATTAATGAGTTTATAAAATATTGGTTTAGGGCCCCAGCCAACTGCCCTTTTTGCCCGTAGGATAATGTGTGCCTATATCATATAACTCTGGTTATACAGAATATTTTGATGCATATCTAAGATGATAGGTACAGGGTAAGAATGGACGAAGGTACCATTGTTCATATGCAACTCTGTTTAAGTAGTCTGTGGATTGAATAACTTTGAGAACCAATGTTTTAGAAGTCTTTCTAAATGTAGAGTGTAATGTAATGTTCTAACAGAGTTTTAAATAAATAGAACTTAAGGCAATTAATTAATTTTTTTATTTATAGTTTAAGTTGTAAATAAAAAAATGTTTTTAAATAAAACTTTATTTAATTCCAGTGAGGCTGAAAAGGATTGGATGCGAATGAGAAGAACGTTTACTAAGACGACTTCATTCCAATGTCTTACCTTTTTTTCCTAAACCGAATCAGGTCTTACAAACTTAACATCTTCATTAATAATTATTATCGCTGCCATTGAATCAGTATTGATGTTTTCAAAACAGACCAATTAACAATGTGAAGAATTATGTACAATTTTTTCTTGGTAAATATTTTGTACCTTATTATTATTTTTTTTATTTAATCGAATCACCAAAGGGATCATAACGTGTTTTAAATTTTAAATGTTGAATTAAATGTATAATATATATAAATATAAATTGAATTTTGACTGGTCAAAGAAAATGCTTAATGCAGAATTAAATTGGAATTACATTCCACTTTATATATTGTTAAACATGTTTGAGAGATTTTTTTTTTGTCGGCAACGTAGATAGTAAGTACTTTATTGTTGTACACTGTTAGTCTATATAACCAGTTTGAATTTTATAATTATTGTACAATTTAAAAAATTCCATTTTTTTTTTATTGATAAAAAAAATATCATTGTGATTGAAGGGATCATTTCAAAGAAATAATAATTTTTTTTGTCATATTTTTAGATTTTACATTTATATATACACACAAATACATACACTGTATAGTTATATTTCTTATAATATATTATAAACTGCACTTCTTATTTACCGAGTTGGTGATTTTAATTTAGTAAATATTACGCTAAATGTCACCCAGTATGTAAATATTTTTATCATTGTCTGTAAAGCTTTTGTACCTTTCATAAATATAATACAGGTATACCTCGTCTTACGTCGGTAATTGGTTCCAGGAGAACGACTTAAGTCGAAAAACAACGTAAGTCGAATTTACTTGTCTCCAAATCTACATGTCACTAGGCTAAACCATAAATTGCCAATTCCGGTTCTGTATTTTATTTATTAATGCATTTTTAATAATGTATGGTTAATAAGAATATATTTTAAGCTTACAAACAAATAAATTTTAGTTTTTAATATAGTACAGAAAAAAAGTAATCTAAATTTACGAATGCATGTACTGTAAATACAGTACATACTTGTAAATGTATATATTTTAATATGATTTTATGTGCTTCAAACATTTTTCTAGTGATATTACGACTTCAATATTTGTGGCGGACAGACATAAAGTCTAATAAAATGACTTAAATTTGATTTTTATTTTTCCATATACTTTTTTGACAAACGACGTATAATCGGGAACGACGTAACTCGAAACGACATAAGTCGAGGTATACCTGTATTTTACATTTAGAATATTGTCAGTCGATATGCAAAACTAATCTGTTAACATTCTCTTTAGACTATCCAAACCTTTATAAGTTACTTTTGATCTTAAATATGATTGTTAGAACTTGCAATCTCTTGATCTGCAAGTTACGACAGTTACATTTAGATTTTCTTTCAAATTTTTGGCTTGAAGTTAGTTAAAAGTCATATTGATGTCACAATGAACATAAAAGATTATGATATCAGAAATAATTTTAAAGAATTCCTTCAAATTAAAGCTAGAGGTTAAATATGCAAGGTCTGGAACTATAGAATAAATTTATGTTCAAACAATATACAGCATATATTTTCAAAGAAAATGCACAGTATAACCTTCAGGTATGTTTGCAGATGAAGTACTGTCTTTCTTTTTATTCAGCATCTTGGCAGATGGAAATAAATATGGTGATCCCTGTGTTCTCTAACAAAAAACAAACATGGTGAGTGACTAACTGCTGCTTTTATTGGAGTATGTAATCATTTAGACATTAGTACTTTCAGATTCATTAATCAAATATCTTTGGAGAGGAGATGATCAGTGAGTCTGAAAGTATAGGGTATGAAAGAGAACATACATAAGCAACTGTGTCCAGTAAAAGCAGATGCAAGTTACTACGAAACCAAATGATTGTCAGATTTAAATCGGGCTAGTTTACAGCTGCTATTAATTAATAATTAAATATTAAAATTAATTAAAATAGTTATTAACAGTAGCAGTAAACTAGCCAGATTTAAATCTGGTGATTGTTTGGTTTCATTATAAAGTATCGGGCTTTGAGATGTTTATATAGGTCAGTTACTAGTTTGAAATATGATGTTTCATGTGCAAAGATATATAGAAGTTAAAACATGTTGGTTGAGTATTGTCTTTGAAACTATACTGTATATTATTTGAAAATATTCTTATACAATTCTAGATTTTGAATGCTCCATCCAAAAAAGCATAGGCATCTTTAGATTTAATACTGAAGGCCATAAATATAAAGAAAAAAAGGTACGAAAGGTTAACAGCTTTAAGCAATGATTTAAGAAATGTCATTTCTTGTAGATGATTTGACATTTTATTAAATTTTTAAAATTTGAATTCTTAAAGTATAAGTTAAAGAAATGCTTTTATGATATAAATTGTTGGTTTTAAAATATTTTATAACCAATGAATGCTAAATGTTTGTAATCAATAAACAATTGGAGATATTGTCAAAAAAAAGAATAAATGTGAAATTATTGCCAATGCATTGTTTCATAGATATTTAATTTTTTTTTGAAGTGGAATTAAGCTTGCTTAATTTCTTTAATCACTAAGAATTTTTAATAATTGCACTTTGGAAATAATTAAAACAGCAATGTGATGTATAAATGCAATAAAAAAAACAGTAACAAAGTATCGTATGTAACGTCTGTTTTTTATTATTGATAGATATAATCAAATTTCTCTATTATTCACTTTGTTTTTAAATATTAGTAAACCAAAATAATGAATTTCTACCTTCGGAATACAGAAAAAAAAAAATTCATAGTCAAGTTATACATACTGGCTTTAAATTCATAATTCAAATTTTTGAAAGAATCAATTTAATAAAGTAAAAGAAAATTAACACGTACGCAGCTATAATAGTGGATAGTTTCTTAATTAAATGATTAAATTTGATTTTGTGTAATTTCTTATTACTAAAAACTACTCATAAATTCGAAAATGTATGTCTTGAAGATGTGTATACACATATTGAAGACAAGTTGTCTGATGTTTTCTAGAGATTGTCTATGTGAATTCTAGAGATGTGTGGTTGTCTGTGTGTTTTCTACAGATAATTTTCTATGATTTAAATATTGGTCGCTAAATAATTTCTGGCTCAAATAAAAAAAATGGGAAATATTTATTATTGATAATGTCTTTGAAGTACTGCATGCTTGTATCTTATGCACATAAAGGAAAACTTCAATTTTTCTTAAAGTTAGTTGATATAAACCTGCAGGGTTCTGTAGCAATGCACAGATGAGAGTATGAAAACATTTCTCTTTCCTCACAAGAAAGATTTATGATGATAATGTATTTTAAATATAAAATATATCAATCAAGATTAAATTGAATCGTCTTTTGAATCCATGTTAATATAACTTAAAAATCTGAAATATCTTTGATTAAAGAAACAATAGAAAAATCCCATATTAGATGATAGATGAGTGTTTTTGAGGTTTATCCAGGGCTGTGGAGTTGGAGTCGGAGTCGTGGAGTTTTGGTGTTTTAGCCGGAGTCGGATTGGTAAGGAAAAGTCGGAGTTGGAGTCGGTAGATTTTTATGCAACTCCACAGCCCTGGGTTTATATCTCAGTTTGAAACTTGAAACAATCAAAGGAAAGGACTTCTTTCAGACTTTAAGCAGAATTCTTTCTTTAGAATTTTATTTGTTAATGATAAAACTGTATTATACTGTATTTAGATTAATTTGGTATTGTTACTTCTAAATTTACAAAATAAGTAATGGGTTCATTGCCTAGTAAAGTGGTTTTAATATGGCTGGGTAAGCAAACCATTGACATTTTTTAATACAGCTGTATTAAAGTCACGTTACTAGGCAATGTATCAGGTGATTAAATTTCTCTTATTCTTAAATATGATAAATGATACATTTAAATCTTTTTTAAAACTGTTAAATCAGTACAATGCCTTATTAGTTTCTTTAATACATTAAAATTATCTACTTTAAATATTCTAACAGATTAGTGAATCTTGACAGTAAATCAAGAACAGTATGACATAATAGCATATCTATTGTTATTTTTAGATAGAGAAAAATACTAATACATTATATATTAGTACTAAATATTCTAATATAATAATTGTAATGTTCTAAATATATCTAGTACACTATAATTCTGTAAGAAAAAGATTGTTGGAACAGAAACTTTTTCTTAGCACGTTGANATTATATATATTTTAAATTGTCTTTAATATAATTGTTGTGTGCAAGGCCATTAAAAGCTTAGTACAGGGATGTGGGGATAGAGAGAGCTCCTTTTTTAACAAATGAAATATGTATTGTGCATTTATTCATTAATAAACAGCAGTCTTAAAGATTGTATTTTAATAATAACAACATTAATTTATAGGAGTATGAACTACTATGAGCCCTTAAGTTTTCATCTGGTGTTGGAAAATATCCTCATCTCCCTCCTCTCGATGGCCCTGGTTATATGACATTTAGAGTATTTTTTACTTGTAAGATGATGACTTTAGTATGCTTAACATTATTTTTTGAAGTTTTATTACAATAACAAATTAAATGTAACAACAACTTCAGATAAAAATCATAGTCTTGGAGCATTTTGACTTTATGACGTCAAGTAAAACAAATTATAAACTGATTACTCCAATAAAAAGCTTTAACTACTTTAGTCAGTTTAGCTTTCATGTTTCCCATGTTAAAAATTATAATATATTGCTTTCGTGAAGTAAATACAGAGATAAGTATTAGGTGTTTCCAAGCTATACCCACTCATCTTTAGGTTAAATTAAAATTTTTTGAACTACGAATTAATCGTTATAGCTAGTCAGTCGTTAGAATATTGTGAAATTATTATTTGCATTCAATATTAAGACTGAATAGTCTAACTTTATGTAGTTAAGATCTGTTAAAATGTATAATTTTTCTTTGTTAACCATTTCTGTGGTGTATGTAGTGAGTCACCGCTTCTAACATTGTGCTGTTGTGTAAGCTTTCAGCATATGTTTTGTTTCAGATTACTTATTTAAGCTTCTTTGGTTAAATTGTGAATAAAATTACTTTTAAGTTTTTAGTTTGATTAAAATTTATAACTTGTTTAATGCTAATTTATACTGTGTATTTTTCTTTGCTTTTATCTTTCAAAATATTGTGAACACTAATAAATTACATAGAAAAACTCTTAATTTACAAGTATTTTAACATTCAAAAAAAGGTATAATATGAAATTTTAGAGATGATAATCAGTTTCTGATATTTATATAGAATTACAATGCAGTATTAAATATTACACTTGTTATTAAAGTCTTGATTTATTGGATAACATTTGCTCATATTCTAAAGTTGAAAGTGAAATCTCATTGTTTAATATTCAATAATTATTATTGAATAAAGAAATTTTAATTTATAAATTGATTAAACAGAAAAAAATGACATTAAAATTCTGAAAGTGGCTCTCTTTTCATATATATTCTATACAGTGTCTGCTTAGACAGCTGTAAACATTATATAATTATTAAACAATCATTTTTGCTGGTAAATGTTAAATAAATTAATTCTTTGGTTTTAT